GGGCCGCTCTGAGCGGTGCTGGCCAGGTGTGGGTTTGGAGGAAGCCCCCGGAGGGCTGAATTGTCACTGTTTGACAAGGCGCCCGCTGTCACCAGGCTGGTTCCCCAGGGAAGCCCCTCTTCTCCTGCCGCATTTTTTCACGAGAAACACGTCATCAAGTCCAGCCCCCCGCCCCAAGCCTTCTCATTCGCCTTTGAACCCATGAGGCCTGGTTTTAGGAGTTCTCCCTCGGCCCGGGACCAGTCACCACAGCTGGTTTTGCTGCTCAGCCGGCCCTGTCTCTGGGGGCCACGCTGCGTTTCAAAGGTGTGGAAAGGTGAATGACAGCGCGTGGCCGCCACGTCCTATAGGGCAGAACGGGTGTGAGTGGATGTGGGGGTCCAGAGCCAGCTGTGTGGCCCAGGGCCTGGGACCCGTGCCGGTGGCCCATGCTCGGGCCACGTGGCGCTGGTGCTCAGCATCTTCAGGTGTTTGGATTCTGGTGGCTTTTCTGCTGAATTCACCACCTGTGGGGGGGGCGGGGGGACCGTCACAGGCTCCTGGGGTCCCTGACGAGGCAGCGCCCTGCACACGGGTGCCGACGCCCCGCCGGTGCCAGCACGTGGGGCTGTATCGGTGAGCGCTCCCAGGTCCCTGCCGTCGCCCCGGATCCTGGGTGCCTTTGGCCCTCTCTTTCCCCCAGGGGCGTCTCTGGTGCTGGGAGCCCCGTCGTTTCGAGGCGTTCGCGGGCAGGCCCTTGCGAGGGGCGGCGTGACATTCTGAGCCTTGTTTGTTCCATGCGGGTTCTGTTGGCTGAAGGATCCTTGTTTTAAAACTGAGTCAGACCGTTTCCTGGATGATGAGAGGAGTGAGCCGCCGGCCTGGCCCCACCGTCACCCCAGCTCCACGGGGGCTCGAGTCACAACGGGGCCACCTGCCCGCTGCACCCACATGGCTGGACGCACGCCCTGCAACCTTTGATCGCGTGGGTTGTGATTTCTGTGGGGTGAGCACCAGAGTTGCATCTGTCACAGGAAGTGAGCAGGTTTAAAGTCGCGTCTGAGCCTGGCTGTGTAGGCGAGTCAGGACCTGGCTGGTGGAGGGAGCCTCCAGGCCGTGTCTGTGGTTAAAAATGTGATGGCCGTGGCCGTGCTAGGCCGTTGTCCTGAGCACTCCTGCCCAGAGACAGCAGGTGTGTGTCCTACCCTCCTAGCTGCCTTGGCCCAGGATACCTGACCCTCGCGGGGCCCTGCCTCCTCATGTGACCCGGCAGCCACTGTGTGGCTCAGGCACCCGGCGACCTCGGGGGTGCGTGCCTGACAGGGGCACCATGGGGGACCCGTCCCAGGAGGGGCTGGTGAGACCAGCCGCCCTGCAGCACCTGCACCCCCAGGATTTCCTCCGCTCAGGCTTGTCCTGCGTCCTCATGTCATGAACGAGCGGAGTGATGAAGGGGCACAGGCCCAGGTGAGTGACCCCTTCCCCAAAACAGAGTCTTGGCAGAGGAGGACCCCTGCCGTTTGGAGCAGCGACCAGACCCGGCAGGGTCGTGCCTGGTGCTGTCAGAGTCCACAGAGGGGTGGGGCCTTCAGAGCCCCCTGCGTACGTGAACGGATCAGGCTCTGGGGATTTGGGGACCGTGGTTTCCTTTGTGCAGATTTTCATTGTAATCTGTCCTCCCCTGGAAAGTGACAGCTGCAAGTTGCGTGTCCTCCAGTGGTGAAGGCAACGAGGAGGCGCTGAGACTCGCCCAGGTAACGTCACCGGTGTTTCCATTTTTACGAAAGTGCAGGTGAGGCCCTCAGGTAGAAGCGTTTGGTTTTTAGCCAAGTCTTCCTCCAGCAGAACCGAGGAGTCGGCTGCCGCCCGGGGCTGCTGCCCTGTGCCTGTGGCCTCTGCCTGGAAACCCTCTCCCAGACGGGTTTCCTTTCCGCTTGTGAGAGCGTCCCTGGGGGCTGACTGGCTGGAGAAGTGGTCCTTGAGAAATGAAGTGTGTTCCCTGTAAGGGTGGTGATGAAGACGGCCACCCTGGCAGCAGGGCCGCGGTGTGGTTGGTGCGGCCCCCAGCGGGAGGGATCGCCCCCGACGCTGAGGGCGTGTGTTGTTACCTGTTTATTTTGTGAGAATTTCCCCCCTACTTTCTGTGCTCAGCGTACGTGTTACTCTGGCCGTAAATCAGCAGCAGAATGGCAGAGCTGAGGTTCACAGTCGGGCGCTGGGCTTCCTGCGCACACGCGACTGGCCACTGTCCACGCTGGGTCGTGGCCGTCCTGGTCTCGTGGGGCACTCGCCTCTCCGTTCCTTGTCTCAGTCCTCGGTCTCCTGTGTGTGATAAGTTGCTGACGTGCACTGACGCGAATCAGTCGTTCCGGGTCCCGGGGAGTGTTCGCCGGGCCCTTCTCATCTGTTCGTTCCTTTCGAGTCCTCCCTTCCGGGCGCTCTCAGTCACGGCGGGAAGGCGGGCGGGCTGTCTCAGCTCTCCTTTCACAAGGTCGTCGCTGGCCTTCCCAGCCGGCGGCTCTGGGAGCATCAGATGCTCCGGGAAAGATGTTGCTTCTGTGGCTTTAACGTCGCTGCAGGTGCCCTCTCTGAGCCTGGCGGGTGCTCAGGTGAACCCTGGAGATCCTCCCAGGCCCAGGCTGTGCTGCCCGCAGCTGCGCTGCGAGGAGGCCCTGCTTGCTCTGCCGCCCCTCCCCGGACCAGAAGCAGGAGACCAGGAGCCAAGAGTTTGTCCAAGGTCGTGGCAGAGGGCGAACCCAAAACTGGGTCGGCCCTCTCCCCGCCCCCACCTGCTTGTCCTCGAGTCTGTTCTGGAGAGAGCTTTCTTCATCTTCGGTTTACTGGTTGGAGCCGCTGATTTCTTGTTCCCAGGGAAAGGATGGTTCTTACCAGAAAATAAAGTCGTTCTTACCAGGGAAGGATGCTGAGCAGGAAGAACAGGAAGGAGGCCCGGCCAGGGGCCGAGGTGGTGTGGGGAGAGGACTTGTAGAAGTTATTTCTTTTTTATTTGAATGTATTTGTATTTTCAAGCTTTGTTTGGACCTAGTTTAGGCTCCAGAAAACTTCCAGGAGGAGCAGGGAATCGTGTCCCGGGCCCGCGTGTTGGTGTGGCCGCGTGCTTGCGTCTCCTTTGCTGCCCCGGCTCACACCCTTCCTAACCTTCCCTAACCGCTGAGGATAAAGCGCTGGTCTGACGCCCTCTCTGGGCGTGTTTCCTGAAACACACAGTCCCTGCGGTGCAGTCACCAAGGCGGGAAGCCTGCCTGACTGAAGGTCTGACCCGGTTCCCACCCTCAGCCCAGTGGTGCCCTTCGCCTGAGGAGCCGGGCCTTGTGCCGCTTCCTGCCGTCCCACCTCCGTGCCCTCCTTCCTCCGGAACTCTCTGGAGCCGGCCTGGTTCTCTCGTGGCTCCCCCAGGAGGGCCGGTGCTGAAGGCTGTCCCTCCCGTGGGCCTGCTTGGGGCTCGGGGACGCTGTGTCTCCGGGTATCGGTCAGCTGTGACCACGTGTTCACCTGGCCCCAGCGTGGGTGAGTGGGTCTCTCCTCCTGGCACTGCCCTGCAGCCCCTGCCCCCTCGTTTGCGTCCGTCTGGCGTCGTTGTTTTCTCTCTCTTCTCTCCACCTCCTCCGGTCCGTCTGCTCTGAGTTTTTTCACCAT